TTCTCTCTCTCTCTCTCTCTCTCTCTCTCTCTCTCTCTCTCTCTCTCTCCTGCTCTTTAGGCTTTCCTCTCTTCCCCCAACTTTCTGGTCTCTTCTGTAGTTCTCTCATGCATCTCTGTGTGTCTCTAGAGGGTCATGGGAATTAAGATTTGGAATAACAGGTCTGGAATGTGCAATGTAGAATGGGGACATGGAGCCTTGGGCTTGGATCTTACACTCAGGGACTCCTTCCATTCTCAGGCTTGGGCTCTGGAGTCTCCAATCTTGCTTTGGACTTGGGGATTGGAGGGCAGCCTGTGAATTTCGATGACAGTTCACCAAACTCACCACAAAGGTCTACAGACAATTATGGTTGAACTCTGTGCCAGACACGGTATACTCCATTTATTCATTTCTACTGCCTCTGCATGAAGACAGCTAAACAAGAATGTGTGACTACTCTGAATGTATATGTGGCTGACAAGGTTGGGCATATGTCCAATCTATGCAGTGCTTGCCTGATAAGAGCAAAGCAGTGAGTTAAATACCCATGACCAAAATAAAACAAACAAACATAAGCACACCTTGATTTACAGAGGGCAACTCACTTACATCTACAGTTGTTATCTGCTTCCTGGATCAAACTGTTAGTAGGACCATGGAGTCCAGGAACAGAAGGATGAGTCCAGAGCAGACTGCAACAGTTTCAGCTCCTGCCAATGGGCCCCAGTTGACGTCATCTACTGCTGCAAGTCTGCAGTGAAGAGGGGACAGCTATGGGATACAGGATCGACATACATCTTTTCTTGGTGGAACCCAGGGCCTTGACATACCAACTGTGGGCATGAGAGTCTCCTTGTGAGACTTCTTCTGGATACTTATGAGGTCATTGGCAGCAGCACTTGTCTGTGGTGCATCACCAGAATTCCTGCAATCAGACTGTGATCCCTGCATGGTGATGCTTGTTGCCAGTGAGAACTTTAAAAGGAAAGTCCAGGAAAGGACACAGGGAAGATTCCCTAGGGGATTCAAGTAATTGTCAGGGCATCAGCTTATAAGACCTGCAAGTGATTTCTTATTAGGCACAGCCTTCTGCTGGGCATGATGGCCCGTGCCTGTAATTCTAGCTCTTTAAGAGGTTTAGTCAAGGATACTGCAGATGTTTCCCAGCCTTTTAAACTTAATAAATCTACAAAACACTGTCTCAATTTTTAAAAAAAGATGAATGAGTAATGTAGCTTTCTGAATACCCTGGGCTCCACCCCTAATACTTCAAAAATAGATTAAAAAAAAACAGAACTTCTTGCCTTGGGCTTCCTTTCTCACTCTGTGGTCCCTTTCACACTCTCTGACCACAGTGTCATCATTCAAAAACACCTCTCTCTGGAGTTTCCAAAACTGTGTAACAAATATATCTCTTGTTTTCAAAAGTCACACAAGAGTGGATATTTTATGACAGCAATAGAAGACACAAGAATACTAAGGCTGTGTATTCTCCCTCCCCTTCACCTTGATTTTCCCGCGTGTACGAATGGACATGTTCCTTCCACTTGACTGTCTCTTTTCCATAGACTAGGTGTGTCATGCCTCCACATGCAGGATACTGAAATTGTTTCCCCAGTGCACCTTGGAGCTGTATTTCTACATTTAAGAAGACTTTAAATGCATAGGTCTGTTTCTGGTTCTGTTGTTATTCTGGATTATATGATATATCTTAGCTAATATCTGTGTTTTCTCAAAGTAAGGTGGTAGAAAAACGACTCTGACCACATTAGTTTCCTTTAAATGTCTTAGTTACCATTTCTTGGCTCTTCTATGTACACTTTAAAAATCATATCCCAGGATTTGTAAAAGTTGTGCTGGATTTTGGTTTGGGTGCTATTGAGATTGGAAATGACATTGGATATAAAATGCATCCATTTTCCTAAAAGTTACTGGAGTTTATGCTTCTTTGGGGCAGAGTAGTGCTCTACCTGTATCAATACCACATTTTCTTCATCTATTCATCCATTGTACATGTGTACCCAATTCCAAGACCTGTTTTGATGCGTGGGCTGCAACATATATGAGTATGCATAAATCACTACAATATGAAGACATTCACTTTTTGAGGTAGACAGCTATCTGTTGAATGGATGCGCCTTGAGATCATAATGTTAAGTGAGAAGAATCAGACACACAAGGTTAAATATTTCACGATCTCTCCTCTAAGAGAAAGCCAAAATATAAAGAACTTAAAGAGCAATATAAAGCATCATATGAAATGGAATAAAATGGACAGGAACAAGAGATCCAGAGAGGAGGGAGACAAAAGCGCGGGGATGAGAAAGAGTCAAGCTGTGTGACATCCATGTATCAACTCTGATGAGGAGCACAATCATTATGTACTGCAAGCACGGACCAATGAAATGAAACAGAAGCATAAAATAGGTGGTGCACATTTGTGATGATGTATGTTGTTCCATGCACCCCCAAAATGCAGTGAAAAGAACTTTGCGTCTTTAGAAGAACAAAAATTTTACTGCATGCAGGACTCATTCTGTCTCCTATTTTGATTGCTCTTAGTTTCTTTTCATTTTTTCCTCTCCTGCTGTTACACAACTTCTTAAAGATGTGTTTTCACCCAGATTTCTTGTACGTGATCTGCAAGAGATATACTAGTGAACTATATCATGCAAATTTGATTTTAAGAGATTTACTAAATCTCATGACACATATGGAAACATAACTGATATTTGCTTCTAACAGACCTGAAAATTCTAATATTAATTCTTGTTAATCAATTACTACTTGATTATGTGGGCTTTGTGTTGTCTCCAAAATCTGAAAGAAACCATAGCTGTCATTCACTTTCTTAGTACTTCTGTGTTTTACTTCTTTTTAGGCTCACTCTGCTCTGTGAGATGTGCTGAATAATGATGCACTGAAGTAATGACAACTGGTTTGTTTATCATCTTGGCAGTGTCAGTGGTAAAGCTTCCCATTTTTCTCTGTGAAGTTATCATGTTTGTTCTGGGTGTTAATCATGCTGAGGAGGTCCCCATGTATTCTTAGTCGGGTAGACTTTGGAACAATTGTGCACTAATGTGAACTGATTACATTTTGATACCTCTGTATTTGTTCCTCCATGAATATGGTATTCTAGCCACTTGCCTTGCTGATGTTCTGGTGCTGAAAATTCCTGAAGGCTCTGTGCAAACATGAGCTCCATGTTCGTGTATCAGCATTTGTCCTGTTGATGCATACAGACTTCATTGAAAATATTTGGATCCACTTGAAATTAATACTACTTTGGATTTTCATTTTCATGTGTCCTCTTTAAATTTGGGGTAAATGGGATCATTTATCCTTTGTGCTCCATACTTTTTATTAACATTTGCAAATTTTGGAAAGATATATTTTTTCTCTTTCATGTGTGTCTGGTTAATCATCCTGTGGAATAAAACCAGACCTATGGATTTTGTTGTGCATTACCACCTTGTCTTCTATGTTCATTGAATGTTTCCTGTTATAGCTTGTTAGATGTCCCTACAATACCTACAATACATCCTGTGATCACAGGATTGGTTATATCTGACTGTGTGGTGCTGGAATTGATTCAAGTCTCAAGAGTAGTATGATGAATGATGTAGATGCTATTCAGCTTAAGTAGCCTGGATAAGACATAAGGCCTCATAGACCATTGGGCATCCCTTGTTTTATTGTTACCTTCTTCCCACCCAGAACTATTTCTCTTCTGTAGTATCTATGTCCTTTACCAGTGTCTCAGTTACTCTTCTCTTGTTGCTGCGACAAATATCCAATATCCAAAATGAAGGAAGGAAAGGTTTATTTAGGTCACAGTTACTGGAGGTTTCTGTCCATACCTGGCTGGCTCCAGAGCAGAGCATCACATGGCAAAGAGCAACCTTTCATGGCGGTGGCAAAGAGCAGAGAAAGCATAGGGAAGGCCTGAAGCTCAGACAGCTAGTTAGCCTCTCAACCCTCCTGACATTATACCACTAATTACCTGCCCTAGGGCAAGTGCAGTGTCCACACCCATAATAGTTTATCACAAGCTTCAGAAGCCACCCTACAACTGCATGAGGATTTTGGACATGTACACAAACCACAACAACCAACCTGCCTTAAAGCCAGCTGGTTAATGAGTGGAACCACAACAAACATTGAGATAAACAAACCTTTTCTACCTTAAATTGTGGGTATTGGGTATTTTTATTAGACAATAGAAAAGCAATTAGGATAGAATTTGGTACCAGTGAAGGAAAGTCTTTCTTCCAGCATTACTTGGCCATGTGGATGAAGAGTCTTGAGAACTGACTGAAAGGAAATGGAGGAGATAGGAAAGTTTCACTGATACTGGCTGAAGAAGTAGAGCTGAAACTCTTCAGCCAGTACTTCATGGGACATTGTGGTCAGAGCTCTGAGGACCAGAAGGCCATAGAAATCTTGTTGTTGAAGACCAGGCTCAGGAGGTTTCTGTTGCGAAGAAAGATTGTATTGGCTGGTGGATTTCAGAAGAAATGTGGTATGCTTTGAGAAAAATACTATTTCTGCTTCACTTGTGTCCAGAGACTCTGCCTGAGACTGATTTGTAGGCCAGCAGTCCATTGATTTTTAAAAGAAATTTCAAGCAGTCAGTTGTGCATTGTCACTACTTTTAGGGACTTTTTTCAGATTCAATTTGAGAACCTTTAACAAACGGTCTTGCAGACCCCTGCAGTGAGTTCCAATCTGTTACAGTACATGGTGGTAAGGTTAAAAAAAAAAGCACAAGAGATAAAAATAGAGGGGGTCAAATGAAAGATCTGGGAGGACCAGTTACTCTGTAAAAGAAAAGTTCAGGAGGCAACCAGA